GCTTATGCCTATATTACAACAATACAAAATGCCACATAACAAAATATATATGTACCTATTTTATTTTCCTGAATAAGAAATTCATTACAACTGAGAGGATGTTCCATTAGGCTAGATTCTGAGACTCTCATCCCTGCTCCCTAATGTAGTATCATGAGTACAGAACTCTCAAGAAAGAGACAGTGGAGCCATAGGGAGATGCCACAGTGTAAAGGCATAAACACTACTCTACTGGCTTCTACAGATATTATGACAACCTTAACACTTATTTCATGGAAAGTAAATCAAATTCTCATTATCAGCTACCACATTTGAGCTCAAGGTAATAAGTGTGCTTAGGTGAGAGAAATGACATGTAACATCTGAATACACCAGAGGCTATTTCTGCTGTGTGATGAGACCAGAAAGTAATCCTTATTGTGGCCTAGCTGGATCACAAAGCTGAATGAAGAAGTCATAGTGAACACATGGCTTACACATGCTCCTATTTGCTGAAGTTTTAATCTATGAATGATAGTAAAGGCCATAAGTTAGAAGACAGTAAAATTAAGTAGTTTTACCTGAGAGAACAAGCAAGTCTGCATAATTTTTCTCTCTCTTTGGTAAAATTAAGGACATTGTTTCCTTTTCCAATTATAGTATCCCTCTGCTGGCACCTGTAATTCCTCTCCCTTTGGTTTTCATAATCATTTCTAATCTTTTTATCTAGGATATATCATACAATACTAGAATATCTTGGTTCATTTTAGAAGTCTTTTCCATGATATAAGATCTATCAGCCAAGATTGCAATAAGCTAACTCATTTTAATGATGCCCTCATCCCAGACTCAAAAGATGTCACAGGAAGGGTATGTATGTATGTATGGATGGATAGGGAGGGTAGTGGAACCAACCAGAACTTGTTCCATCTAAGATCATTTGAGTCTAAAGACTGAAAGAGAGAACAATGCCTCCACTGTAAGGCTGTAGCCACAGGTTGTACCTACCAAATGTTCAGTTCCCTGCCCTTTGCCATTCATTTCCCCAGAACCGACGTAGACAAAATTAATATTGATGGGCATGAGGCAAATAGGAAGGGTACTCAAAGCAAGGCACAGGTTGAAAAGGAATGCTCCACTAGTCTGAAAGGAGGAAGGAAAAGGCAATTGGCTTATGGAGGAGACAGCAGGGAATACAGTGTGTTTTCCATTGCACCAATCAGTGATGGGTGAAGATTTTAAATCCTCTTCTTTCAGGAAGCTGAACCCATCACTAATGTTCTCTGCTACAGAGCTGTCCTACTCATAGCTAAAATGGAGGATGTCAACAAAGGTCATTGCCAACCCCAGCACTTTTTCAGGCAGTACCAATTAGCCTGCTGAAATCCAGCAGTATCCAAGTCATCGTACTACAAGTCGACATGGAGTCAACACAATCAGAAGTGCTTTAATCACCTCATAAATAATGAGGCAGACTCAAATTTATAAGGCTGAGTTTCAGGAACATGAAGCAGAGTGGTAATATAGATATTTTATCAGTGTTCTGCTATCAGTTTTTATTTTATTGTACATATTAAAAACATTGACATTTTCAACTTTTAGAGGTGTGCATTTTTCCAGTTTCAAATCAATTAGCTCCATTGAGATATCATGTTCATTTTATTAAAATTCACAAAAAATATGGAGTATTTCTATACTTCTCAGTCCTCAAGCCTTGTAAAATGTGAGATAAGCCATAGAGCCTCTTCCTGAAAGTTTCGGGTCAGTTTCCAGACTTCAGGTGCCACATTCTGACTGCCCTGCAGACACACAACAGGCTGCTGGACAATCGGACACTGTGGGCCTTGAGACAGTGTTCAATCTGACTAGTTCCTGAATCGGAAGGAAGTTTGAGTTTTTGTAAGAAAATAAGTTCAACTGTTGGTAATTTTTTTCTTTTCTGGGACAACAAGGCACATGAATGCCCTTATATCATACAATTTGGCCACATCAAATTGTTTTTGTGTAAAAGGTATGTTTAGAGAACAAGTGTAAGGGTGGAACACTTGATCTCCCCTCACGAGGGCGCTGTGGGTGGTCAGAAGGATGAGTGACAGCAGCAGTTCTGGCTGGATTAACCTCGACTCTGACTGTTGTGTAGAATATCAACTGGACCTCCGACAGAGGGAATGTTAGTTTCCATGATGGAAATAAATCAGATCAACTAAAGTATTGTGGAATTTGGATGACAACTGAACCCCATCTGCCAAAACTAAATCAAGAATTTCTGCTTTCCAATCAAGAGAAAGCTGAACCAGATCTGTTGGAGCTAAGGATGATTAGTGCAGGCAGAAAACTCAGACTCAGATGTCAGGACACAGAGGAAGTCATGGCGTGTCTGTTGACAGAGGTTTCTGTTGTAACTAAATACAGTGAGAAGGAGACTCTCAGCAGAGGCCAGAAATTGAATACTCTGTCCACCAAAGCCAATTTGGATCTCATGTAGATCAGAGAGGGGCAAAGCATAAAAAAATTCCCACTGAGTTGGGTTGGGAATAAGACACAACCCATGCATATAAAGTTGAATGAAGCAGGAGCAAGCACGCTATCTGGGGGACTGGTTCTGTGCAGTTGCAATAACAAGCCTTTCACATCATTCATGTCACTCAAAAGTTCTGGTAAGGAACAAGTCACCTGCTCAAGAAAGTCTTTTAAAGGGCACTCTTGAAGTTTCAGCATCTGGTCTGGGAATTGTACAAGGGCTTGTTTCAATGCAGAACTCTTACTAGCATCTTCATTTTCCAGTTGGAAAACTGAGCTTGGCGAAGCATCTGCTAACTTTGCAGCTGTGGAGGTAGGAAGGAGGTGTGGTGCTCTGTAAGGCATGGTATGCTCTGCTGGCCTGGCACCCCCTGTTTCTTTGCTCTTGTTGCCTCTACTCTGAGCTAGGGGAGAGTAAGATTCTAATGGTGCGCTGTGAGACTTCAAGGTGTGTCCAGGGGTAAGTGTTGCAAAAATGGTAGGCATCTGATGAAAGTTGGGATATGGGTCACACAAACTCCTCATGTGGCTGATCACCTTTGTGCCAGCCTCTTGCAAGTGAGAACCAGTATCTTCATAATGGTCTGAGAGTATTTGGTGAAAATATCCCAACCTACTGCTTCCTTCTGTCCTGGTACTGATCAGTGACTCTGAAGAATTAGTTTTTTGAACAGCTAACTCTTTCTCAGCATGCTGCTTGGTTCAAAACACTGAGGCTGGTACACTCTGAAGAAAGCCATAGGATGCACTTGCTGAAAGGACAAAGGAGAGGAACTGGTTTTGTCTGGCCTGTTTATTCCACTGTTTATCCTTTCTGAGATGTGTGTTGAAGCAGAGTCCAGCCAGACTGGATTCCCACACAGGATTCATCACTACCAGTCATCAATTCACTGATGCTTTCTGACTTAGCTTGCAAATCATGTACATTGCTGGTATAGTTTTCATTAAGAAAAGGTATTTTAGGCAAATTAAGACATTTTGGTTGGACACTGCCTGTGTGCTCAGGGTGACAATATTTGTAATCACTGTTCTGCACCTTGTATGATGAGGACTGATCCCTCCACTGGAAGGTTTGAGCCAGCAATGCTGAGGAGGGAGTTGTAGGGCCTAAGAGGTTTCAAGTTATGGGAAGATTCCGGTGGCTGTTCTGATCCACCTCCATTCTCTTCACTTCAGTGGCACTGGAAGTGTCAAGTGACACTTCTGGGCAAAATCTGGGTAACAGAACTTTTCTGTTCAAGATGTCAAAAACAGTTGAAATGTAAATGTGGTAGCAAGTTTTGTGATTCTTTTGTACATGATGGTTCTTGTAGTCATTGGTTTCATTGAGTGCATTAATTCAGGGCTAAATCAGAAAGCTAAATCATTTTTATCGATTGATACATGATTTAAGAAAGAAAGATCTGATGCTCACAGAACATCAATTACCTTATACCATATATCTTATGAAAGTGTGAAGTATGCTGAGATATATATGTAGTATGGGATTGATCCACAATATCTATTTCCTGGTTACTTTATTCTAAAGTAAGTCTTCATATTTGACCTAATTTTCAAAATGATCATATTTAATTTTTAAAGTAAGTCCATGACCTTTTGTCTAAAATGTAAAAGAAATCAGAACCTATGCAATGTAATCAGAAGCAAAGCAAAAAGAAACTAACAAGGATTCAACCCAATTCATGTTTCTGTCACTTCTTGATTTGTTTTCTAAGAATTTTTAGTTATCTGTCTTGGTTAGACTACCTTTCCCATAACAACAAAGGAGAATAAATGTAGGCAAGGTCTTACTCTTCACAAGATAAGGATAAGGGTGTTCAGAAGATAAGGATAAGGGTGTTGGATTACTGGAATAGAAGGTGCGGCAGTGGACAAGACAGTGACACTACTGTGGAGACCCATTTTTTTTGCTTCCTGCTTTCTATGTAGTAAGAACACTCACACTCTTTATAAGAGAAGCCCACCACCAACAGTTTTGCTTTTCACTTTTTTGATTTAGGAATAGACAGCAAGGACAAGTCCCTCACTGGGGAAAATATAAGTAAAAAAAACCTTACAAACTGTATGCCCAATCTACCAGAGAAGCAAGCTAATCAACCAGAGTATTTCCTTTGTACTAAAGCCAACTTGGTGTCTGTAAAGAAAGCAGGTTTTAAAAAACATCAAGAAGTGCTCAGTTTCATTTTCAAACCTCATATCTGATTCTGATTATATAATTCTGCCTTTTAAATGCAGACTAAGGGAAAGGATACAGTTACGAAAGAAAACCTGGGCAAAGGCCTCCACCACAGCTATGTGCCATTGAAATAAAGTCAAAGCAGTTTTAAACTGCAGGATTCCATTTAATTTTAAGTCCATATAATAGCCTGCCTTCCCTATTAGCCATTAATCTCACTGGGACTTCAAAATTCTAATTATGCAACTAAACATTAAGAAAATTTAATCACACAAGCATGACATAATTTAAGGCGACCCTATCAATCTAAAAAATCATTACCTACCTCATATTTTAGCTTACGTTGAATGGTACCATTGTGAAGTTTCTCATTATCCTGAAAAGAAAATAAAAAGCCCTCTATATTAAATTATAGTATGTTCATAGAGGGGGAAAGAACTGATTTGATTAGAAATATTTATGGGGACAAAATTTTAAAGAAACATACTTGTCACTGAACAATGACAACCCTTCTATTCCCAAGGTAAACATGACTCTATCGATTCATCTGCCTGTAAGAAAACTGAGCTATTTTTCCATATCTTAAAATTTTAAAAATAATATTAAGAGAGAGATTTCCTCAGGACACTTTTTTTGCAGAACAGAAATAAAGTATCTCTAATTTGATCAAGATCAACTTATCACAAATATGTATCTTCTCAAAGGCAAAATTTGTATTTATTTGGTATAATTTAGCAAACAAAATCCTTAAGGAAATTGATTGTATTTTTGGAGAACACAGAAAATGTTACATATAAATTTTTATAAATCAAAGTAAATAAAACATTTTTTTAAAAAAGATTTATTTATTTGTGTATACAGAGCTGAGGTACAGGCCAGAGGCTCAGGGGCGATGAGAGGCTTCACCAGAGACAGAGTGGGGGACAGAACAGGCAGATCTATTAAGTACAATGCTGAGGGGAGCAGTGGGCAGGTGAGGAGAGGTCTGCCACGCCATGTGGTCACCTCCGGGGCAGGTGGGAATCGAACTCATGGGGAAGTGGCTTTAGCTTCTCAGTGCTGTGCTTTAACCCGCTGCACCACCAGGGAGGGCCGTAAATAAAACATTTTAGGAAACTTATAGTCACTTAAAATTTCCCCCAGGAATTCAAAAAATTTTAGTGACATTATTCTTTAATCAATACTATTTGTAAACCATCACAAGTTCTACCCAAGCATTATTTAATGTTTCCAGACTATTTTACCTCTCACTTTTTTTTTTCTACTGAGAAACATAATAAAAGAACTCACCGCCACCAATAACTTATTGAGGGGTCATTGTGAAAAGAAAGGTTGTGTTGTCTGGTCCCTCCAGCTCACCTTTGTCACATCTGCTGATGTATTAGTGTCATCGCCAATCACACGATGCAAATCCTGAAGCCGCCTTTGAACTTCCTCTTCAATGTAAGCACTGATCCTGAAAACAACAGAGGTGGGGGTAACAGAGTATGTTTAACCACACTGGATATTTAGAGATTTCTTTACTACACCCTTCATCACAGGCAACTTTCTGATTCCAAATACCAAACAACAACTTTGCTCCTTAACATCTTTACCTAGTAAGACATCTAGTGCCATGTGTTCACACTGTCTAGGTTTTACCCAAATAAGAGACAATTGGTCAATCAACAGAATAACAGAAGGTTGGACGAGGAAAGGAGACTAAGTGATCCCATCTAACTATGTCCTGAATTTCCACAGTGGAATTCCTGCTGTCTGGTAGACAGAATCACAGACACTTTTGTAAGGCAAATCTGTGGTCTGAGATTTCACTCTGAGATCCAACACTATACACAAGTCTCAGTTTCATCATACAGAAAATGGTGATTACTATCTCTCATATCACAAGAGGAATAAAGATCTTACATGAAGAGGAGTCAAATGGAGGGGGAAAAAAGTGGGAACACTTTCTAGAATTCCTCACTAGTATGCCAGAAAAATGCTTCTCATTATTCCTATTTGTGTCTCACCAAATGGACTACTACACCTGATCAAGGGAATCACATTTTAAGTCTCCACCTTCCAAAATGCCTGGCACAGGAATAATACAGTGAAATTTAAAGAACATAAGAAAGTCAGAGTAGAGTTGACTTTCAACACACTTGTGAACTGAGTATCTGGTATCCCACATAATATGTAATGCTGAGGACAGTGCATTAAGTACAGTCATCTGGTCAGCAGAATCAGACTAGCGACTTAAAGTTCCATCTAAAATCTTTCTGGTGGTTCTCACTGCCCAAATGACAGGCTTTTTACTCAGATTTAGTCTCTCCCTCTCCCAATAAAGATAGTTTTTTTTTTTAAGTAGATGGGGTTAGCATGTTTATATCTTAGTATACTAAAAACAAACAAAAAGGCTGACTTCATTTTCCTAAGCACATAATCAACATTTCTGTACTACTGACCATGGTTAAATGTTTTTCTGAAATGTTAGAGAGGTTAATATTTTAGGTATTTAAGTCCATATAATATAATTGACCTGAGGAGAAAGTTGAGGTATAATACACTTGAGGATGAAGTTAAGGTAATAAAGTATTTACCTTTTAATATTTAAAAGAAAGTCATGAACAGCTAAACCTGCACCAAGGCCAGTAATAAATTATCTCCCCAGATCTTTACTTCAATTTTAAACTAGCCCTGCAGAAGATACAGTCCTAGATTTCAAGAAGTACAGAGACTCATGTCATGCTGAGTAGCTTTGAATATCCAAATACATTATTTCCTAGTACCTGGGGCTCTGGACAGCCCAATTTGAAATGTCCCCCTGGCACGGATAATTTGAAGAAAATAATCCATTTTCCTATAGGCAAAGAATGATTTACTCAATTTATCTGAGAGCTCTAAGTCACAAAGTAATTATGTTGCTATAGCAATATCAGAAAACATTTTCACTATCATTCTAAATAGACTTGCAGTTTTTCAAACAGTCTTCATTTATTTGCAATCAATGGCATTTCTAAAGTAACTGTCAGCATTAGACCCTCCTTTTTAGTACAACTCAATTTAATCTACTACTTTGTTCTTTTTGAGGTTTTGTATTATCATTCCTTCTAGATGATCTGGTCTCCTAGAACTTTATAATTCTACCATCTCATGTAAACTACTTGCAACAACATCCCTTAGACTTAGCTGGCCAGTTTCCTTCAAATGATTACCTCAATCCACCATTCCTGGGCAACTATTAATGAAAACAAAGTACACCTTACGGACATGCATTACTTGTAATCTTTGATAGAGGCAAACTGGATGATATAAAGCACAACAACCACTGAAGCACATCAGCAAGGCAGGCATGGCATCAGCTTAACGACTGGTACCTAGCATCCATCAGAGGGAACAGATGAGATTTTTCAGCACTGGATGGCAAGCTGGAAGAAGTAGCCTTCCCTTCCAAGCTTCCATGATGTCCTGTGTAAACACTATCAACCTCACAGATCTTCTGTTTCAATTGTTGAATTTCATGTTCTAACCTATAGAGATGGGAATTAAATGGATTCAATCATTAATTGTACTTCCATAACATCTTCACTGGCTGGGGCATTGTTCTAGAAACCATGGAGAATCCAGACAAAAACTCTTTGTACAAGGACACAAAAACATTAATTCAAAAGGAAACAAGCATTCCTGTGTTTAGTGCAGCCACTATTTACAATAGGTAAGATATGGAAACAACCTAAATGCCCCAAAATAGATGACTGGATCAAGAAGATGTGGTACATATACACAAAGGAATACTATTCTGCAATCAAAAATATAAACTCATGCCATTTGCAGCAACGTAGATGGAACTGGAAGGGATTATGCTCATTGAAACGAGTGAAAAGGAAAAAGAAAAATATTGGATGGCTTCACTCATAGGAGGAAAATAGGGGAACCAGATAAGGAATTGAGAAAAGAAAGACAAAACTAGCAGGCAATGATAAATCATAGAGACATTCATCAGGAGAGGGAGAGGGATTAAAACAGGTATAGGAAGAACACAAGAGACCATGGTCATGGTTCATGGGTGAATTTTATGGGGAATTTTATAGGGACTATACCAGAGATGAGAAAACAAACTGTATAAAAATGAACAATGATGTAAACTATATATGTGTGTGTGTGTGTGTGTGTGTGTGTGTTTGTACAAAGGCAAACTCTTGTCAAAGACCTCTGCCTTCTAGTAAAAAAGGACACACACATTAAAGACACTATAGAAGGTGGTGATGCACTACAGGAGGGGCTCAGAAAAGGGCTGAAGGTGTCCAAAAGCCAGAGAGAAAGATATGCCCACTGTGTCCCCAGCAAAATCTCAGAAGCAGGTGTGTGGCTCTGGGTCCTCTACCCCTGGTTCAAAATGGCTGGTACTGGAACCCACTACATATTTCCATTTGTAAAACAAGGCTTAGGTTCAATGAGTTGTTTAAAACCACAATTCTAGAAGAACATTCATGGTCAAGGCAGTTCTGAGCTTTCAGAAGCCAGCTGAAATTGGATATTTAGAGATGATGTAGAAGATTCTCCAGATACAGAAAGCAATATAAACAAAGAAACTAAGCCAAAAAGACCAGGAATCTACTTTGGTCAAAATAAAGGGTATAGAAAGAGAACTAGGTAAAAAAAAACCTACAAAAGAAGGCTGAGTATCTCAAAAAATTAAAATACAGCATGAATTGTGGAACAAAACATTTCTTTCTAGTGATAAATGATACAATATGAGACCAAGTGTGTGCAAGGCCATTCTCACATGGGCCCAAGCCTCCTTGACCCCTGGGCCATCTTGTGAGTAAATTTGGCCTAGGGAATATAAGACCCGGCCAGGGGCTACGGTCCACTCCCTAAGGAAGCCAGGATAAGTGAATGAAACCTGGGTCTCAGTCTTATATATCAAGTGCAAGCACCCATCAGTTTCTCTAGATTCCTTCAGCTCCAAATCCAAAAATCAGCAATTTAATCTTAAGACGCTGTAGCGTGGCACTGCCCTCATTCAGTGTCACCAGAAGCCACTTGGCTACTCCATCCTAAACACGAAACCCAAGTTGTTAACTCAGAAATGTGACTTACAGGGACGCCAGGGTCAGCCCTTGTGAATTCCATAAGAGGCAATGCCCAGCTTCATTCAGTCCTTCAGTTGTCTATTGGTTAGCAAGTACTTACTGAGCATCAAATCACAAAGCATATAACATTTTCAGAGGAGGAAGGAACAAGCATGACAGAGTGATGTTAGGAACCAGCTGGCGGGCAAAAACCAGTGAACAACATTAATACAGAGTCTGAGAAATGGTAAGGAAAACAAGTTAGATCTAAGTAAGTAATTGCCAGTGTTTACAATGCAGATGACAGCTACTGTGCCATCTGACTCCAGCTGATTGCCTTGTAAATGAGCACTGATCCTTTAGGACTAGGGTATGGACAAGACTCCACAGAGCAAAGGGATTTGAGTGGGGTCCTGAGGGTGAGTACAATCACATGGGTGGTGAGGGACAAGCAGGGCATCCCAGAAAAGAGGCACAGTGCAAGTGAAGAACTGGCTGCCGAACAGCAGCACCTGGGCAGTAGACAAGAGGAAAATGTGATTAAAAGTTGAGTGGTACACAGCCCTAGGTAGATCTAGGTTCATTTGCAGCTCTGCCTCTTTCTAACTGTGTGACACTTGTCCCCAGTGGTTAGAGAACTATTGAGTGGGGAAGACAGAAAATGGCTGAAATCTTGTTCAGAAAGCAAGCCAACAGGGACAGCCAAGCTCAGTACACTGCTGTCCGACCTGGTGCCACATGAAGTTATTATTTCACACTGTGGAATTCCACAAACACTCAAATCAGGCTGTTTTGGCCATGAGAACCCAGAGAGCTCATAAAACACAAAACCAACACCCACAGAAAGTTGCAAGAGCATCACAGTCAGAACAAAAAGCTCAGAATCTGTTGTCCTGAATTAGGTCTTAGCAAAGTCCACTCCATCAAAACACATGAAGATAAAAGACTCCTTTGTGTGGCTCCAGGAGGAATGCTGAGTCGGGCAAATCACTGCCCTGGAAATCAAGATACGGTAGCTATTATAAAGGATTAATACTAATGGCCAGGGAGTGTAGCCGGTTGACAAAAGCCAGGGACATCAAACTAAAAGCTCACCCTGCATTCTTATTGCACACTGCAGGGTACAAATTGAGAGCATGCCCTCCACTACTTTAAATTTTCTGGGAAAGGAGCTTTGTCCAGCAATTTCATTTGCATAACACACCTGTGATCATTTTCTTAAACCTCTGACCTATTTCTCTGAAGTAACAGCATTATAGTTTCAGACAGTTATTTGTTTTACCTAAGGGAATTATGAGAGAACAAAGTAAATAGAATCCATAGCAAAAGGAGATAACTAGAAAGGAGTTTGTCCCAACCTTCCCAAGCAAAAGGATGGCCAGAGACTCCAGCTGACTGCCTTGCAAATCAGCACTGATCTAGGCCTCTGCCATTGTCAGGCTGGGCTCCTTAAGGTCAGCAGACTGGGCTTCTGCCATGGACCCTCAAGAATGCTACGCCAAGAAGGAATGATGGGATGGGGTGGTGTTCCAAGACTTCCAACTTGGGCCCAGTTAAGACCGCCCAAAGGGTCTGGAGTTAAAGGAAATGCACAGATTCCCTCACAGAACTCCAAATCAGCTGTTGGCCACACACCTTTGGAGGGTTTTGAGAACGTATTATGTGAGAAGCAGGATAACAGGGAATAGCTAGAGGATAAGTATTCTTCCGTTACACGAAAATGGTACTAGTTGTCAGTTTTACTTTTGACAACACCAAATGTGGTATCACTAAGTCATCGCCAAGCATGCTTAAATATATCACTGTATTTAGAACATCTGGATAGTATTGTTCAGTCGCTTGTTTCTTAACACAGAATTCCAGGGACTCCCCAGGAGAAGTAATGCTCTCTGGTCCCGTACCAGCCATGGAGAACAGTACAATCTGGGCACCTGTAAGCTCAGGGATGAGGTTTCACTGGAACAAGAGCTGGTCATGGAGGTGTTGGCCAGTGCTAAGGAAGGAGAAAGGAGGAAAGGAGAGAGAAAGGAGGAAAATGAGGGAGAAAGCAAAGAAGGAAAGAAAAAGAATGGAGGCAGAAAGGGAGGGAAAACAGGATAAGAAAAGGGCTGGATGGCAAAAGAAGGGAAGGGTGGAATGAAGAACGGAGAGTGGAATTTACCCTACTTATCAACTGTTAAAAAACATAGACAGTTGTTAGGTCAGTAGGGTAACAGGTGAGATTTTTGTTTGTGTGTGTTAGGCCAAAGATATTACAATAAAGATCTTAAGGAGAAAGAAAAGAATGTAGAGGATGCTTTCCTTAGGTTTGGTAAATTTGACAGTGTATTAGAATCTAAAGAGTTGGACTGGCATCCAAAGAATTATTTTGTGAAGACAGTGGGAAACACTCTATGGAGAAGGTGAATGCAAACCACCATTGGCAGCAATGCTGTGCCCCACTTTCCCTTCCTTCCCTCCTCACCTTTCCTGGTCCTTCTCCAGGGCCTCCTGCTCAGCTTCCAGGCTGGCTCGCAGCCCTGACTGCTCACTGCTGCTGCTGTTCAGAGAGGCCAGCTTCTGCCTCTGCTCCTCTATCTCCAGGCCCAGGGTAGAGCGCCGCTGCAGCGCGGAGTGCCTCCTCTCCAGCCTGGCGACGGCACGCTCCAGTGCCTCTCTCTGCTGCTTCTCCCGCGATTCCAGAATCTCCTTTTCCTTTTTCCTCACTTTTTCTTCCTGACGTGCAATGTTGGCAGTGAATTCAAAGGTGGCTTGGAGCTTCTGCAGCTGACTTGCATTGGCCTGGTACTGCGCAAGTTGTTCTTCTTTTTCTTCCATTTCTTTCTCTACTTGATACAGGGTGTTGTCTAAGCTGAGAGGACCTCTGTCCAGGATTTCAAAGGCCCTCTGCTTTTCTTCTAACAATGTCGGCAAGTGATTCTGCAGGAGGTATTGGAGCTGGCGCTCTTTATACTGCAGCCTGTACTCCGCTGGCTTTATTTTCTCTAAATCTTGCGCCGCCAAGGTAACATTTGTGACACTCTCATCACTCTTTCCCAACAACTGGAATTCTTCCTCGTTTTCTGACTTTAGACGCTCCAGGATTTCCTGTTCTTCTTCGACCTCCTTTTTCAGGAGGTCCTTCTGCTCGACCAGATCCTTCTCCAAGTTGGCTAATTTGATCAGCTGCCTTCTCTTAAACTCTAGGAAATGCAGCTGTGCTCGTTCTAACTCCTCGCCACTGTCGTCCCCCTCCACCCGCGCCTCCTTGGCACGCAGGAGGGACTCCCTGATGCCTTCCAGGTCGCGCCTCTCCTCCTCTGCCCGCTGGACTTCCCCACGCCGGAGGAGATGGATCATCTCCTGCTTCTCTCGAAGCTGCTCTTCCAGATGGGCCACAAGCATGACCTGCTCCTTTTCTTGCTCCTCCAGTCTCTTTTTTTCCAATTCGAGTTTGGCATACTGCTCTTCCTTTTCCCTTTTGAGAAGGTCCAGTTCTTGAAATATCTGAATCTTCTCGGCCTTCTCATTGTGGTTGAGTTCTTGGAGCCGCTGGAGTTCTTCTTTAACTCGGAGAAAGCTCTCTTCTTCTTGCTTCTTCTTCTGCAGCTCAATTTCATGCTGCTCCCTCAGCCTTTCTTCTTCAAACTTTTCTTTTTCTGCGAGCAGGTCCTTCAGCTTGCTCTCTATGTGGAAACTGCGGCGCTGGAGACTCTCCTCCCGCTTGCGGATCTGGCGCTGTACGATCTCTGTCTCCTTGCGCTGTGTCTCAACCTCTTGCTGCATCCGTTCCAGTTCTGCTTTATCGGATTTTTGCTTTTCCTCCATTTCTTCTATGAGTTTCCTGAAATCCAACATGTTGACTGATCATTAATTTGATCACTATGTTTGAATTCTGCTCTAACTTTCCCCTAACTGAAATGGTCTGATAATGAACATACCACAGAAGGCCAAATCCTTCCCTAGAATAAAAAAGAGCCGGGACCAACTGTCCTTTTCATTTCCAGTAGCATGCTGTTTAATTTTTTTAATTCTTTAACTATCCAACATATCATTCGCCTGAATCTCCTAAAGTAGCCTCTGATATCATTTCTTTGTACAGTTTATAAGCATAATGTGTTATGCATGGTATCATTTAAAAAGCCCCCTGAGCTCAAACAGAAAGAGCCATGCCCAATTTAAATTAAAATGTGAGTAATTTTATTCAGCCCAATGGCAAAAAAACTCTACAGAAATTCAGTTACAAAATGACATTAAATAAAAATGCTTATGCAGTCCTCAACTCGTTGGGGTCAAATATCAAAGTCGAGATAATTGACAATTCACTGTCCAGCTCAAATATCTAATGCTATTTAACATTTAATCACCAGGATAAATAGCAATCATCAAATATTGTAAAATGCTATTTATCAATATATAACATTGAAAATAACAGGAATCCCCATTAGAACATTTAAATGCCTGGTTTGGGGAGTCACATGTTCTGCGTTAACTCAGAAAACAATGATCCCCCACTGGATGCTAACTCAAAAGAAAAGGAGATAATATTAGTTTTATCAGAAAAAATGATATTTTAATTTATGTGTATATGTGTGTATAAACTTTCCAAGTTAATAAAACAACCATATTACCCCCCCCCAAAAGAAGTGAATAACAACTAAGAAAAGGCAAGTTATATAAAGGGAACTATAATATAAGGAAAGATATTTAAAAAGAGGAGAGTATAAGGACGGGAAGCTTTTTCCTTTTGGCTTTTTAGGAATTCAGGATATTATTAAAAGAAGAAATACTTGGAGTAAAATTTAAACATTTATTTGGTGTATTAAATTTAATGGATGTATTAAATTTGCCTAATGACTCTCTTCCCCCCTTTTCACATGTGTTTGAAAATGAACTATGTAAAAAATTCAAAGATAAAGTAAAAGTAATCAGTTGAAGGGACATGACCTACAGTCTCTAATCTGCATGAAGTAGTCACAGTTGTAATCAGTTGACAGTCTTAACAGGAAAAGTGAGACTACACTAGTGTTAAAAACCATAACCCACATGGCTTACCTTTTACTTTCCAATTTTTCTAATTCTTCTCGCTGTTGCCGCTCAAATTCAAGTCTAACAAAATTAAATGAAAATAAGTCACTTTTCTGAAAAAAAGCTTTTCTTTCTCTTTACTCTACCGGGTTACATATTTTAAAAAGCAGCAGCTTATCAGGTACAATTTTAATTACCATGGATTAGCAAGTTTAAAATGTGCCCTTTGTTCTATAACTATGATTAGAAATTAGACATACTTTGGGTGCTTGGTTCAGACTGAAAATAACATATTTTACTTAAAGGAAAGGGAAAAAGAAAAACACTGTACTGAAAAGGCAAGTTAAAGGAGACTTCTAAATTATAAGCATGACTACTCCATGCAATTTAGTCACTGATGAGTACATAAAAATAGAGAATCTCTACCTTAGACAGATGGGTCCTTTTATAGGGAAAAGACTGCCAGGGAAATAGAAAGGGAGAGAGCACAGACATCAATTAAGCAAAGACTTAACTGGGGAACATCAGGAGAAAAGCAGTAAGGTACTTATAAAAGCCAATAGCCATGCACAAGTTGAAATGGCTTTTTATAAATCACATTGCTCAATAATTTCTTGAAGAAAACCTTCCAAGAAGTTAGCTTATGTTATATTTTGCATGCATGCCATGAAAATTATAGTAACAATAACTATCAATAATAATTGTGAACAATAGTCAAATTCCTATTTTTATTACTTTATAGAGAGCTACAGTGCACATAGGTTCAAGATCCTCCTCTAATTAGTACTTATCCAGGGTAGGGCTACTGGGGCTAAACAGGTCACAAACAGGCTTATCACAGTTACAGCAAATACAGGGAACTAGGTGATTAAGTTTTCAGACAACTCACTGAAATATTACTAGTACAAGTTAATTTCTTCTCAAATACTGAAATTATGTATTGCCAGGTTTCAAAACTCTTGTTAAACAGCATGAAACTGTAACACTTAAAAACATTTTCTTGTAGATGACAGCTAAAAAGCTGAAATTAAAAAAAAAAGGTCACTATAAATTATTTTCCTTGTGCAGATCCATATCAATAACAGCAATTGTTACAATGAACTAACAATATTTCAAATAAACCTGTTTCCCATTTAATTGGGCCTAATAATGAGGGTGAGATGTCTGGTGTCTTTTGTAAGTAGAACTGAGTGCTATGCTGAGGCTTTTGTAAGTAGAACTGAGAAATTTACATGCTATCTTACTTTGTCTACTCAGCAAATATTTTGTGAACACTTTTAAATTGAGGTATTATTAACATATAACAATTTCAGGTGTACAACATGATTACTTACTTGTATATGTATATACTGCATATATACATACACAAATATGTAACACCAAAATAAATTAACATCCGTTACCATATATTTATAATATTTTCTTGTGATGAGAAACTTTAAGATCTACTTACTCTCTAAGTGACTTTAAAATATCCAATACTGTATTATTGACTATAATCACTATGCTGCACATGACAGTCTCATGAGTTACTCATTTTATAACGGAAAGTTTATACCTTTTGTACCCACAAAATCCTTAAGATAGTAAATCGTATCTCCACTTTATAGATGGAAACGCAGAATTCAGATATAAGAAAAAACATGTTCAAATCATAATGCTAAGATTATGGTGGAACTAGGATTTGAACCCATGACAACCTTTTTCAAGACACTTTCTATTAATTCACTTTATGAATAGTGCTCTTTTCTGTGATATACAATAAAGGTATTAAATCCTTCACTGAAACTTTCTATTTAGGGTTTTTTTTTATCATTTTGTTAAATTAATCTATAGGTTCTGTGCAATACAACTCTGAGAAATAAATCATATAAATATATAAGAAAGGTATCTGTCAGTTACCAAGTCCAGTCCAGATAATTATATTTAGTAGGTATACGATTAAAGTTAATATATGATCATTCTCTTCATATAACAATAAACAGAAGCTGAATGACTTTAAGGGGGACACTGAGACTGAGATGTTCAGAAAGCAGGGGATACACATGAAGATATGATACTCAGGCTCCTATCAAGGATAGAGATATATAGACTTTGGATTCATCAGCATTTAGATAGTAACTGAAGCCACAAAGGTGGAAGAGATTACATAGAATATATCTATGGAGTGACCAAAAGGGAGCTTAGGGGAAAATCTGAAAGACAACACTTTAGTGACTGGAAGAGAAGACTGGGCTCTCAAATGAGGCCAGGGATAGCACTCAAGGACAAAGAAAAAAATTAGGAAAGGGTAGACATAGAAAAAAATGGAAGGTGCTCAAGAAAGAAGAAGGTATTAATAGCATGAAATATTTCAGGAATGTGAAATAAGATTTGCTCAGGACAACTCAATTTAGCAGAACAGTAGTCACTGGTAAGCTAGGGGTCAGACTTCAGTGGGGTGAAGAGTGAAGGGGAGGAAAACAGACTGTGAAGGTAGATTATGGTAGCTTTAAGAGGATGGTTGCTCATATTAATAGCCAAAAGAGACTTGTACATAATTAAATTATGATGCAAATAAGCCAGAAGAACAGAAAAAATTGGGGAGAGACTGGAATACCTGATGGGTGGAGCTCCCTGAAGCCAGAAAGGAAGAGTAGAAGAATGTCTAAAAACAAGGGCCCTGGAATTAAAGTAGTCCAAATCAAATCCTGGTTCTTAATTTGAATAGGGTTATTTTTTATCATTTTGTCAAACTAAAACTATAGGTTCTGGGCACTACCATCTCTGTGGATAAACTTTCAACCTCTCTACATTTCAGTTCTTTACCTGTAACTATACTCAGTGGGTAGAGATCTCATTGCGAATGCTAACTGATAGCAGTTAATAAATATTAGCTATTATTCCAATAGTTTCATTAGAGCAGGTTGGGAAAGTTATGCTGAGAAAGCTTGAAGGTCAGTTAAGCCACTGAAACAAGAAAGGAGAGGCTGTATGACAAGTGGACATGGAAATTGAGGTGGGGTTAAAGGCATAGAGAACATATGGAATATTTTTAATAGGTAAAGGGGCCTAGGCACAAGAGAAATGATAAAGCCAACAGCAAAAAGGATGTCTGAACTTCATTCAAGAATAAAGACAGGGACAAGGCAAAAACAAAATATGAAATCAAAGAAGTCTCCAGACTTAGAGGTGAATAATACCTATGTAACTAGACAGTAGGATGAGCTATCCAGATGCCATCGCCCAATGTTCACAGCAGGATTTACAAAGATGGTGAAGCTTAGAAGGAAATGCATCAAAAGCAAGTTGACAACAGTAAAGACAAGCAGACTGTGACAGGCCTGCATATAAAGACCAGGAGTGTTCAGGAGCATGAGGAGAGGATGAGTGGTGTCACAGAGGCTGATAGAAGGACCCAGCAATCTCTAGGCTGATGAAATCACTGGTTCCCCCTCTAGAGAAGTTTAGATTTTAGAACATCTCATTGGGGTGGAAAAAAAAAAGAATCTGGATAAGTGGCAGCTATCAATTTTAGATAAAGAAGGCCATAGTGTTGATCTTCCCTCAATCCCCAAAAAGCAGCATTAATTGAAATATAAAATTGAGTCAAGAAATCAGAGCTATACCTATTGTACTGCTTAATGAGGAAGTATGACTTCATTTCTATGACCTGTGTCTAAATTGAAAAACAATTTACTGTTTTATATTGAAAGCAACATGTCATTGATAAATAATGATTCCTATTTCCCCCAAGAGTCAAAAAAAAAGCTCACTCTTAAAGGCCCAACAGTCTAAAAACAGAGTCACATAGTCAGAGACTGTATGTTCAGTATGAGGTGATATAAGCCCTTGCCTGTACTGCGTAACTTTTGAAAAATATCGTATCTTAACTAATCATACTTAAAAATACACCTCTTTCCATAATCAATGATAATTATTTCAAATAGCAAATCTTAATAGACTGTAAAATATAAATGTGAATGTGTTAATATCAAGGGAAGATTATCCACTTCAACTGTAATTTAATGTGGCTTCATTTTAAGTAAGTGTAATTTACTATCTTACTTTACTGGAATTATCTTGACCCCAAATGTTAATTTCCTAAATGTTACAATTAAAAGAAAACAGGGAAAGGAAATAATTTTTCAGCTGTTTTTAACATTTTAAAATGGCATTTGGAAATATACACACTGTGTTAGGTTCCACTAAAAAAAACATGGCATAAAATCTATTTTTATGAGAAGCAGTTTTTTCTTTGCATTAAAAGATCTCAAACACTTTTAGCAATAAATGCACATCTTGCAATTTATTCTCCTGTTTTCATCTGCAACGAAAAAGCACGTGGGTGGAAATTTCTCAGTTTGCAATATTACATGGAAAGTGAGACTGTGACTATCAAAAAGATGAAAAAGAAAAATGTAAATGAACTGACAGTATAAACATTTGAGTCTTGTGTCGTCCTGATGGTGATTAATTTAGTACCTCTAATGTCATTTCACTTTCTAAAATAAGGAAAATGGCTCGTCAAGTACAGCCAATTCTTAAGCTATCAGCAGCAGAGAACAGAGACGTGGGGTGGGGGTCGATGAGTAGAGTAACAGAAGCTGAACTGCAGACTAAAGAATACTGGAGGGGAGATCTCATTTCAGTAGAGGTGCCTGAAGGTGAGGCAGCTTGGGATATGGACACTTTACTGTTCCAGTTGGTATGTGAATAAGTAAGAGAAAATTACTAGGCTTTTCATATATGAATTTGAGGTTATTGTCAAATACAGGGAAGGCTTCATGCAATCACACAGGGTTCTGTTTGCAGAAGTGCCCCACATTGGTGATATGCTGTCATCACTTTGAAATTCTTAATGTTAAAATTAAGAGGTATCATATTTTCATTAGGCACTGATCAAATATATGTGGTTTCGGAAAGAACGTCCAACCTGTTGGCTGGAAGGTTTATCAGTATTCCTCAGTTCAGACTCTGAAAATGGAAAGACAGAAAGAAGTAAGACTAGAACTCAGTGTAAAATGGAACTAGAACTCACTGAACTTCCACAGGGGATTAGCTATTGGCCATAATGAATTCTATTACCACTTAGATTAGACTGGCTTACCTTCTCACCAACCTACCAGCCTTAGGGATTTCCAGTCAGCCTCAGAAATTTCCAGCCAGTCTCTAATCACTTTAACTAAGTAAACCCCAAGAACACTGAGGATCTTCAAGATTAAAGAGAAAGTCTGGATTCAAGTGTTGCAACTTATGCAGGTTTTATCCTATCATCTCCTAGAGCTTAAGAATTCTCAGATCCTCAATGCTCTTAAGCTGCTGAGCAGATACCAGATATTACCAAGTAGACACAAGGAAATCAAAACAGGAAGAACCTGGCCACAGGTCCAGTGTCCGATTCTTCATGGAGAGGCTTTTTCTGTACACATCAACTCACATATAAATTTTCACTAGAAGGGTGCTTTTAGAAACAGATG